GCATTGCTAGCGAAGGATGTCAAGTTTGTGTTCACTTTAGAGTGATTAAGAGCATTCGAATTGATAAAGGAAAAAAGTGTTAGTGCTCCTATTATGGTGACGTCTGATAGGAGCCAGCCATCTGAATTAATGTGTGATGCTAGTGATGAAGGTAGTTCTAGGGCAAAGAAAAGATAAGATGTTTAGGCCTATCTACTATGCAAGTAGGACGTTGAATGATGCTCAAGTTAACTACGCCACTACTGAAAAAGAGTTCTTTGCTGTTATTTTTGCTTTTGACAAGTTTAGATCATATCTTGTGGGGAGTAAAGTGATTGTGCACACTGATCACTCAGCTTTGAAATATTTGCCGAGTAACAAGGAGTCTAAGTCGCGTCTGATGCGATGGGTATTGTTGCTCCAACAGTTTGACTTAGATATCAAGGATAGGAAGGGCACAGAAAATTAATTCGCAGATCATCTATATTGACTTAAGAGACCTCCGGTAGAGATAGTAGAAATAAGGAAGAGTTCCCCGATGAGCAGATTTTCTCCATTGTTGCGGTCTCCGAAAGACCGCCTTAGTATGCTGATGTAGCCAACTTTTTGGCTAGTGAATGGTTGCCGCATGACCTCTCTCATGATCAAATAAGGAAACTTCAAGGTGAGGTAAAAAGTTATTTTTGGAATGAACCTTTCTTGTTTAAACTATGGGCAAATGGTGTGATTCGAAGACGTGTACCTGAAAAAGAGATGGCAAGTATTTTGTCTCATTGTCATGATGGATCAGCTGGAGGACACTATGGTGGAAATCGCATTGCATCAAAGGTCATGGAAGCCGATTTATATTGGCCTACATTGTACAAGACGCACGGGCGTATGCAGATGCATGTGACAAGTGTCAAAGGGCAGGTAATATTAGCAAGAGGGATGAGATGCTGCTAAACTCCATTCTGGTATGTGAAATTTTTATGTTTGGGGCAATGACTTCATGGGGTCGTTCCTATCGTCTCACTCTTATGAGTACAACCTAGTAGTCGTTGACTACGTCTCTAAATGGTCGAAGTAATCCCTACTAGGACCAATAATGCTCGGGTGGTGTGTTAGTTCTTACAGAAGAACATCTTTACCCGCTTTGAGACACCTCGAGTGATCATCAGTGGCAATGGATCGCATTTTGTGAAAAAGCAGTTTGTTGCGTTGTTGTCCAAGGCTGGGGTCACACACAAAATAGGAACCCCATATTGTGTCCAAAATAGTGAGCAAGTTAAAGTAGCTAACCGTGAGCTTAAACGAATTCTTGAAAAGATGGTTAATGCTTCTCGTAAGGATTGGTCTATGAAATTGGATGAAGCTCAATGGGCATACAGAACTATGTTCAAAACAACCATAGGACTTCACCGTTCAAAATATTGTATGGAAAAGCATGTTACCTACCTGTTGAGATAGAACATAAAGCTTATCGGGCAATTAAGCTACTTAATCTTGATCTTAGTCTTGAAGGTGAACATAGGTTAGCGCAGATGAATGAACTGGAGGAGTTTAGATTGGGCGCATATAAAAATGCGCGAATTCTTAAGGAGAAAATGAAGAAGTGGCATGATTGTTTGATTAAGACAAAGGAGTTTCATGAAGGGGAAAAGGTCTTACATACAATAGTAGACTTAGTTTGTTACCCTAAAAGTTCAAGTCAAGCTGGACAGGTCCGTCCGTGGTGAAATACGTCTCACCATATGGCGCCATTGAGATCCAAGTAAGGAAGGGAATGAGAGCTTTAAGGTGAATAGGCACAGGTTAAAACTGTACCTTGTTGGAGGATTTGACAATCAATCCTCAAGCATCGTGATCAAATGAGCCTATGTGACGGAGTCAAGCTAACGACTATAACTCAGAACTACTTTTGTAGAGTAGTTTAGTTGATTGTAGATTAGGAATACTAGCGTTTAGGAGTTTTGATACTTGTTTGGACAGGTATGAGCATGAATTCGATACAAAATAAGTACAACATAGAGTCGGGGTGCAACCCGTGGGCTAAAACGCAAAAAGTGGCAAAACTCTTAGAGAAATGGCCTAGCGTGCCGCGTGGGGTGCCGCTCCCTTCGCTACGCTAGTCCATACGACCCTCTGACAAAAAATAAATAAGGCTCTAAATATATCCACTATCGCGGCGCGCAGGGCACCGCACCCCATGGTGTGGTACCGTAAAAATGTGGCCATAATTTGGAAAAAAAATTAAAAATAAACGTTCAACCCAGACCACCTTTTTGTCTATACCCGTTCCCTTCACCCCTTTTCCCCCATTCCTTTTATCTCCTCTCTCAACTCCCACCCAACCCAGACCCCCTTTTTGTCTATACCTGTTCCCTTCACCCCTTTTCCCCATTCCTTTTCTCTCATCTCTCAACTCCCACCACATAATCATCTCTTCTCCTTCTTCAATTTCTTCCCTTCAACTCCTACTGCCCCCATTCCTCATCAAGGTATCCTTCTCCTCCCTTTTCTCTTTCTAGTAGTAATTTTACGTAGTTTAGTTTAATTTTCTCTAACCCTAGGTAGTATTATTTTTGACAATTTTTTAGTTATTTTTCTCATGATGGGCGAAATTGGGCATGCTTATGTTGGGATTTTATTAGCACTTATGCCTATTATTTCAGATGACTTCATGTTAGGGGTGCATTATGGCTGAAAATTTTGAGGTTATTTTTTTGAAATTGGAGCACTTTATGCTGTTGCTAAGATTTGGTGATTGTGGTTGTATTGAGTGGTGTGATTGGTGTATTTGTATGGTGATTCTAGCCCACTTTGAGGTGAAATTTTATGTTGAAAATAATGCCTACATGTGTTCGGCAAAATGCTCTAGTGATATAAATTCTGTCTTTTGTTGCTAATCTAGAAGCTAACTGAATTGTAATAAATTGAAAATAGATGATAAGTGTGGGGTGGGCGGTAATGTTCTTAATTCATGAAACTGTAAAGTGTTAGCCCCGAGTGCTAATCGATTGGATACTCCATGCTATTGTGTTTCTAGTTGTTATTGTGGTGTCCGATTCATGCTATATACTTGTGTAATTTTGTAGTATAACTTATTGGTTTTCTTTTATTAGTTACTATTTTAGCTTCTTGATTTTATATTTTATAATAGTGTAGTCCTTGGTTGTGTTGCTGTAATGTTAGTAGGTGGTTGGACGGGCTGTTAATGACTTGTGACGTGCTTATAAAGGGGTAGTCTGTGTCCTCGGTATACATTGTACTTGTGAACATGTCAATGACATAAGTATGGGGTGGTTACCTTATTTGATCTTACTTGTTTTTTTACGTGTTGTGGCTAATTGTGTTCGTTCTGTGAAGGTACAATGTCTTGTCATCCCAGTAAACGTGCTAACACTGATTCTTCTAGGGTTGCCCCCCTAGTAGTCGGAGAAGAGGTAGGCGGGCACCACCCGCTGCCCCAGTGAATGCCAAATAGGATTCTATAGGATCCTTAAACCTTATTGAGATTAATTTTTCCATTGTTGTGGAGTAATTCCCCTTAGGGTGTTGACAGATACGATGTATTAATAATTTGATTAGGGATTCGATTCTTGACAATTGCTTGAATTAATATATGGAGCGTCAAATCTTGCTTTGAAGTTGTTTATTAGTTTGCTTAATCGAAAGAGGAGATTTATATTGAATTTCTTTACATCTTATGATCTAGTTTAAATTCGTGACTCAACTAGGTAATCGAAAGAGCCTCTTGAATTATTAATCGAACTAGAAAATAGGAAAATATTCATGAGAAGCTACCCCTTTAGACTAAAACCGTCATTTTATTTGTTACAATTGTTTACCGTGCTTCCATTGGATTACTTACTGAAATTAACGTTTAATCAAAAGAGGAACCTTAACTTCAAGTGTAATCCAATTATCTGGTGAATTCGTGAGAATCAACAGTATTATAGAATGAACTACTTCAAGAATTGGATTCCGAGTCAATTATCTTGCACATGTTTAGTCAATTACCCTTATTCCTCTCATTGATATTTCTGTGTTGCTCAACTCTTGTCTTTTGTGATCAATTGATAATTGCTTAATTTTTAGTAGTTAACCGTAGTTGATAATCGTTCAATCAAGTGTTAATTTTCCTGGATAGTAATCAACTAAAGATTATTCGAATACTGTTTAAATTCAATTCCTGTGGAGACGATAATTTAACAATACTATCTTTAACTAGCAAGCAATAATTTTGTGTTGTGTTTTGCGCTCGTCACATAGTAGATTTCGTGGCCCAGTGTCCTAACTGCCAGCAGGTAAAGTTTGAGCACCAGAAGCCTAGCGGTTTGTTACAGGAGATAGAGATCCCAACATGCAAGTGGGAAGCAGTGAGTATAGACTTTTTCACAGGCTTGCCTCATACGCGGAGCAGGTTTGATTCTATTTGGGTTATAGTTGAAAGACTTACTTAATCAGCTCATTTCTTGCTTGTTAGAACTACCTATACACCAGAAGATTACACCAGATTGTATATTAGGGAGATTGCACACCTCCATGGTGTTCAAGTATCTATCATTTCAGACAGAGGTCACAGTGTATAACTAACTTCTGGCGATCGTTCCAGAAAGGTTGGGGACGCATGTGAATTTGAGTACAACTTCTTATCCCCAGACAGATGGACAGGCCGAGCGAACCATACAGACGCTCGAGGACATGTTAAGGCTGTGTGTGTTAGATTTCAAAGGTAGCTGGGATGAACACTTACCGTTGATAGAGTTTGCATACAACAATAGTTATCATTGCAGCATACAGATGGCGCATTATGAAGCTTTGTACGGGCGCATAGTGTAGATCACCCATAGGTTGGTTCGAAGTTGGTGAGTCTCAGTTGGTAGGCCCAGATTTGATCCAACGGGTAGTAGATAAGGATACGCTGATTGTTAGCAACCCAGAGTCGACAGAAGTCATATGTAGACAATCGACGCTGAGATCTAGAGTTCCAGGTTGGCGATTGGGTATTTCTGAAGGTGTCACCTATTAAAGTCTATATGAGGTTCGGAAAGGAGGGCAAGCTTAGCCCTAGGCATATAGGTCCATACCAGATCATCAGACGAGTTGGTCGTGTAGCATACAAGTTGGACCTTCCATCAGACCACAGTAGGTACATCTAGTGTTTCATGTCTCCATGCTTCGGAAGTGTGTTGCAGATCCTTCCAGAGTTGCACCATTCGATGATGTACATATCACTGAGAAGTTGACTTATGAGGAGGTACCTATTGCCATTTTAGATCGGCAGGTTCGTCGGTTGAGGACGAAAGATATTCCTTCGGTGAAAGTGTTATGGCGGAGCAATAATGTGGAAGAGGTGACTAGGGAAGCTGAAAAGGAAATGAGATCTAGATATCCACATCTCTTCAATACTCCAGGTATGTAACGAATGTTTGCGTAATGTTTCTGTATACCTTAGTCAACATTCGAGGACGAATGTTCTTAAAGGGGGAGATTGTTACACCCCGTACTTTTGTGATGTCATATGTTGTGTAAATGACTTTCTAAGCATGATTTAATTGATCTTATAGTCATAATATGACTATATATGATGGTTGAATATAGAATATAAAGTTTGAGAAAAATCGGATTTAAGTTGCGGAAAAATCGACTAAGGATTTTCCTTGTAATGAAGCTTTTTGAGCAATTAATTTCGTATATTATATGAGGTCTTTTGGGAATATATTATGTATCAAATTGAAGGTATTGGGATTTAATTTCTAATGCTCTTGATCATTCAATCATACGATGTCCGGATAAAGAGATATGAGCGTCGGAAGAATGACCGGTGAAGCACATATGTGATTGACTTTTCAACCTTACCATAAATAGAAGACTTAGTCTTATTTTTTTCTCATTTTCCAGAAAATTCACGCACAAGAAAAGCTTCCATAGCTATCCAAGAAGTTCCTCAGGATTTTGAATCAAGTCCATCATCCGCAATTCAAAATCAAGAAACGAACACATCAACGCGATCATTACGACATAGGTAAGACTTTGTCGTCCTCCTTTCTCCTTATAACTCGAGTTCTGGAAAGAGCTTCGTGCTAAGCAAGCTTGTCACCTCTTTATTTTAGCAATACAAGCATAAGGAGGGTGTGGATCAAATGGAACAAGGTTTGGAAGCAAGAATACAAGAAGTATGTAGGGTCTTCGTTTCGTTTTCGGTATGATTTAGTTTAGCTATGTTCTAGCCTTTATTCTTAATCTTTTAAGAGTTATTTAAGGGAAATTTCAGTATGTATTGTATCCTTGTATAGTATTCAATTCCTTATGTGAAGTATGGAAGAAACTAGTTTAGGTTGAAACTTCAAACAAAAAGATGAATCGCCCATTTAGCCTACGCCATCTGGACTTCCGTTTGTTCCGTTCCTTTGATGTTTTTATGTATACCTAACCCTCATATGATCCTAATAGCTTCATTTAAAATTATATATATTTAAATATGTGTTTATGCTTAAATTATTCCTAAATCATATTTAGACTTTCATGTCATAAGTTAGCCACTATGAGCCGATATTATGTTCATAATTTCGTTTGTCGATCGTTTGGCACTATTGTGGATAATTGGATCTTCTTTAATTTGATGTTATAATCTTGTTCGGGTATCCATTCCCTTATATCATGGTGCTTGCTGTTTTTTTTTTTTTTGGGATCATCTAGTTTTCGGGGAAACTCTGCCGAATTCTTTGGAAATTCGAAGAGTTGGACAAATTTCGAGTTTCTTGATTCTATAGGGATCCTAATGAGTTAATTAGCCTTTGTATCTCATGTACATACTTATTTTATTCCTAAAATGGGGATAGGATCCTCCGTCCAACTTATAAACGACGAGCGTTAGATTATGTATGTGATCCCGTTTATGGTTTCCTTCATGATCTATTGAGTCCATATGCTGCCACATGTTTTATGCCTCATACACACTTACATTGATTATGCTGGGGGAATATAGCCATAATACCAGCGAGGCCTATTGATTATACGTTGGAGGGAGATAGCCCATAACACCAGGCCGGGCCTATTGATTATATATTTACTTGTTGGGGGGATATAGCCCATAACGCCAGCCAGGCATGTTATATACGCATATATAGCTACAGTTTGCATTGCATGACTATACATGAGGCTAGTTCAGATGTACAGTTACCTGATTGGGGGGATATAGCCCATAACACCGGACAGGTACCAGTTCAGATAGTAGTTCAGTTTCAGCACAGTTTCAGCTTCAACTTCAGTTCAGTTCCAGATCAGTTGCTAGTTCATACTCTTGTTTAGCTTTCAGCTTATATTCAGATTTCCAGCTTACAATACTTTAGTATGCTTTACATATGCTTTCCACCCTACATACTTTGTACATATCGTACTAACGTCCCTTCTGGGATGCTGCATTTCATGCCGAGCAGGTACAGATAGATCAGCGCTTGAGCCACATCAGTAGGTCATCCACTAGTTGTTGGAGTCACTCCGCTTACTCTCGGAGTTACTTGTCTTTTTGTATGTATACAGTCAGCTAGTTTGGGTTTGGCAGGATCCTGTCCCGTCTAGTACTTGTTCAGATCAGCACTCCTAGAAGCTTGTAGATATGCATATGTGCAGTTAGTATGTTTTCATATGTCAGCTTGTGTTAGCCTTGTCGGCTTTCCGGATTGTAGAGTTCTTATAAGCTATGCTTATGCTTGTTCAGTTTATATTCATGTAGATTATCAGCAGGTTTAGTGATAATCGACACTTAATGTCGGTTATCCGTCGCAACCCTAGGCTAGGTCCTGACAGTATCTTTAAGCTTATAAGTTCCAAAGGTCTTTCTTTCTTTCTCTTTCTTTCCTAATTAGTACCTAGTGATTTTATGTTTAAAAGCGGAGGTACTTAAGCATTTTAGTAATCAAAGTTTTTACAATTATTTAAATTATTTTAAATAATGATCCAAGAATTAAATTAAGAAATATTAATATGTTAAAGACCCAAATAAATGTATTACGTATTTAGCACATCAATAATGTCAGACGACAAACTTAAAGATTTTAAACACTACAACTAGTTTATCATACAAAATTCAGCCTTCAAATCACAGTTTTTATATATCAATTTTATCCGACTGATCAACAGTGAGGAGGTGCCTGCAGAAAAGTTAAACTAATTTCTTCCTGGTTTGCAGGAATAAATTCAAAATTTTTAGCTAGTGTTTGGACATAGATTTGGTTGAAACTTGAAAAATTAAGTTTTTGAAGATGAGATGAAAAGTTTTTTTTAAAAGTTGAAATTGCATTTGGACATGCATTTTACTTGAAAAGAATTTAAAGTTTTGTGAGTAGAAAACTTCAAGAACTACTCTAGAGCTGGGATTTGAAGATTTTATTTTTAAAATCTAACAAAAACAATTAAAATAAATAAACAAACAAATATTTGAAAAAAAAATTATAAAAAAAAAGCTCCTAAATTTATGTCAAACGGAAGCTTAATATTGTTACTCCTGTTATGAATAAAATTGTAATTAGAGTGAATGTCTATCTTTTAGAGAGTTTTATTTTGTGGCTAAGTCATTTTTCCCCTATAAATAGAGGGGTCTTACCCCATTGTAAATCATTCCAAAATTCAATAAGAATTACTCTCTCTTTCTCTGCAATATTGTTCTTCTACTTTTATTGTTTTATTACACGTTATCAGTACGAGACTCTACCGTCTCAAGAAGCTCTTTGAGAAGACTAAGGTATAACTTTTCTCCTCTTTTAATTATGACTGATATTATGAAAAGAAAGTTCGTTGCTCTTGAAATTTCGGGCAAGAACTATATGACATGTGTGTTGGATGCTGAAATCCATTTAGATGCAATGGGTCTTGGAGACGCCATTTAAGACAAAACTAAGGCATCCACCCAAGACTGTGCTAAGGCCTTGATTTTCTTGCGCCATCACCTTGATGAAGGGTTGAAAATAGAATATCTCACAGTCAAAGATCCACTTATTTTATGGAATGGCTTAAAGGAAAGATATGACAACTTAAAGTTGGTCACTCTTCCACAAGCACGATATGATTGGGCTCATCTGAGGCTCCAAGACTTTAAGTCTGTTTCTTAATATAATTCTGCGATGTTTAGATTTACTTCTAAATTGGAACTCTATGGAGATACTATCAATGACTATGATATGCTTGAAAAACGTTTACAACGTTTCATGCCTCCAATATGGTCCTGCAACAGCAGTACAGAGAGAAAGGTTTCAAGAAGTACTCTGAGTTGATTTCTCTTCTCCTTGTGGTTGAACGAAACAATGACTTGCTCACGAGAAATCACGAAAATCGACCCACTGGGTCTACACCATTGCCTGAAGTGGATGAGGTGTATTCCCATTATGCTAAGCGTGGAAAAAGTCGTGGCCCTATTCGTGGTCGTGGCCGTAGACAAGGAAGAAATTTTTCTGGTGTCAATCACCCCCCAAAGAAAAATAACCACCAAAAGTGGAAAGGGAAAGATGAGAAGCCAAAGGCAAATGGTTCAGAAACTGAATGTTATCGTAGCAGTGGAAAAGGGCATTGGGCAAATATTTTTCGTACACCAAGACATTTGGTTGAGCCTTATCAAGCATCTCTAAAGAATAAAGGCCCTGAAGCTAATCTTGTCTATGACAATGCATTTGACATTATCCACTTGGATGTGGCAGACTTCTTTGAGCACTCTGATGGGAAAATAGACCACTTGATCAGTGATGGATATGTGGTTAAAGAAGATTGAGTAGTTTGATTTTATTTTATTTTGCTTATTTGTATTAGTTAGTGAATAAACATCATGTAATTATCGTAGTTTACATGAGTAGTAGTTTTAATTAGTATGTCGAATTAGTATAATCTGTCATTGAATAAAGTTTGAGAGTGGCCAAAATTTATAGTCAGTATCAATTGTAATTTATGTTAGGAGTTGAGAATCGTGGAAAAAAAATTACAAGAAAAAAAGGACGAAAACTTGCAAACGAAAAAGTGTCTTACATACTAGCGTGAAATTATTTGCTAAAGCTTTTAAATCAACTGACACTATACGAAATTTTTATTAAAATGCAATATCTATTTTCTAATTAAGTTGTTCAATCAAAGATTGTGTCTTACGAAAAATTATCATCACACTTATTGAATAAGTCATTATTGAGTTATTGACTTCACTTTGTCTCTTTTCCTTTATCTATGAAAATACTAATATCTATTCGTATATTTCTTTTGTATGTCAAACCATGGGAAGCAAATATAGATATTTCACAAAACAAACTTGGATCAAAGTTCAATTGTAAAAATATTTGTTTAATTAATTCATGTACGACACATACAATATTCAAAGAGAAGAAATATTTCTCTCATTTAAGTATGTGTAAGGCAGATGTTACTACAGTTTCTGGTAGTAGTAATTTAATTGAAGGCATTGGAAGAGCTGCTATAACTCTGCTCAAGGGAACAATACTTATCATAGATAATGCAATGTTCTCCTCCAAGTCCAAAAGGAACTTGTTGAGTTTTAAAGATATCCGCCAAAATGGATATCATATTGAGACAATAGATGAGAATAATCTTGAATATATCATTATTACCACGAATGTCTCTTACCAAAAGAGGGTTATTGAGAAGTTTTCATCTTTATCTTGTGGCCTGTATTGGACATGAACTAGTGCAATTGAGGCACATTCTATTGTAAACCAAAAGGTAACTAATTTCAATACTTTTGTACTTTGGCATGATCGATTGAGACACCCTGGATCAATTATGATGAGACGGATTATAGAAAACTCAAATGGGTATCCATTAAAGAATTTAAAGATTCTTTTAAATAATGAATTTTCTTGCACTTCTTGTTATCAAGGCAAGTTAATTATTAGACCATCACCAACAAAGGTTGGGATTGAGTCCCCTGCGTTTTTGGAACGTATGCAAGGGGACATTTGTGGACCTATTCACCCACCTAGTGGGTCGTTTAGATATTTTATGGTCTAATAGATGCATCTTCTAGATGGTCTCATGTGTCCCTATTGTCATCTCGCAACCTCGCGTTGCAAAACTAATAGCACAAATAATTCGATTACGGGCTCAATTCCCCGATAATCAATTAAGTCTATTAGACTTGATAATGCTGCTGAGTTTTCATCCCAAGCATTTAATGATTATTGCTTATCAATTAGGATAAAAGTGGAACATCCTGTAGCTCATGTTCACACTCAAAATGGCCTTGCAGAGTCTTTAATTAAACGTCTGCAATTGATAGCAAGACCGTTACTCATGAAAATGAGGTTGCCCACTTCTGTTTGGGGTCACGCCATTTTGCATGCATCAATGCTAGTTCGTCTCAGACCGACAAATTATCATAAATATTTCCCGTTGCAATTAGTTTTGGGTCATGAACCTAATATATCCCATTTAAGAATTTTTGGATGCGCAGTATATGTGCCTGTAGCACCGCCATATCGCACCAAAATGGGCTCCTAAAGAAGGTTAGGAATATATGTTGGGTTTGAATCGCCCTCCATTATTCGCTACCTCGAAACATTAATGGGGGATTTATTTACTGCACGATTTGCAGACTATCGATTCAATGAGACACTTTTCCCAAAATTAGGGGGAGAAAATGGTGGAACCAAACGGGAAATTTTGTGAAAAAATCCATCATTATCTCATCTTGATCCACGTGCCTCTATTTGTGAAAAAGAGGTGCAAAAGATTATCCATTTGCAAAAAATAGCAAATCAAATGCCAGATGCATTTACGGATTTGAAAAGGATAACAAAATCACATATCCCTGCAGAGAATGTTCCAATCCATATTGATGTCCCTATTGGACAATCTTCTAGTGTCATAGCTAATGAGTCAAAAGCACGCCTAAAACGTGGCAAACCATTAGGTTCTAAGGATCGAAATCCTAGAAAAAGGAAAACAAATGATCAAGATGACACTACGAAAGAGTCTCATGAAGAAATCCACGATTTAACCAATCCTGAGATTCATGAGGAATCACTGAGCCTGAGACTCAAGAAAATAAGGAACTATCAATAAATCCAATCGATATTGAGACAAATTTGAATCGATTGGATATAGTGGTGGATTATATCTTTGCATATAATGTTGCATCTAGCATTATGCAAGATAGTGAGGATCTTGAACCTCAATCTGTTGGAGAATGTCAACAAAGACGTGATTGGCCAAAATGGCAAGAAGCAATCCAATCAGAGTTGAATTCACTTGCAAAACGTGAAGTTTTTGGGCCTGTAGTCCAAACACCTAATGGTGTTAAGCCTGTTGGCTATAAATGGGTCTTTGTACGCAAGAGAAATGAGAAAAACGAGGTACAAAGATATAAGGCACGCCTTGTTGCACAAGGATTTTCACAAAGGCCTGGTGTCGATTATGAAGAGACATATTCACCCGTTATGGATGCTATAACGTTCCGTTATCTCATTAGTTTTGCTGTCCATGAAAAGCTTGACATGCATTTAATGGATGTGGTTACCGCCTACCTTTATGGCTCACTTGATAATGAGATATACATAAAAAATTTCGAGGAATTTAAAATGCCTAACGCAAACAATTCAAAGTCCCGGGAAATATTTTCAATCAAATTGCAAAGATCTTTGTATGGTCTAAAGCAATCAGGACGAATGTGGTATATTCGTATTAGTGAGTATTTATTAAGGGAAGGCTATATAAATGATGCCATTTGCCCATGTGTTTTATAAAGAAAACACATCGGAATTTGTTGTACTTGCCGTATATGTTGATGACATAAACCTTATTGGAACTCCTATAGAACTCCAAAAGGCAATTGATTATTTAAAGAAGGAATTCGAGATGAAAGATCTCGGAAAGACAAAATTATGTCTTGGTTTGCAAATTGAACATTTGGCAAACGGAATTTTTGTTCATCAGTCTGCCTACATAGAAAAGGTATTGAAACGGCTTTACATGGATGGAGCACATCCATTAAGTACTCCGATGGTTGTTCGATCACTTGATGTGAATAAGGATCCATTCCGACCTCAAGAAGAGAATGAAGAGCTACTTGGTCCTGAAGTACCATATCTTAGTGCAATTGATGCACTAATGTATCTTGCCAATACTACAAGGCCTGACATAACTTTTTCAGTTAATGTCTTAGCAAGATATAGCTCTGCTCCCACAAAGAGACATTGGAATGAATCAAACACATATTGCGGTATCTAAAAGGGACTACCGCTATGGGCTTATTTTATGGCAATAATTGCAGTCCTGATCTTGTTGGTTATGCCGATGCTGGGTATCTATCCGATCCACACAAGGCTCGATCTCAAACAGGTTATGTGTTTACCTATGGAGGCACAGCCATATCTTGGCGATCGACTAAGCAATCAATTGTGGCTACTTAATCTAATCATGCTGAGATAATTGCTATTCATGAAGCAAGTGGAGAGTGTGTGTGGTTGAGGCCTATAATACATCTTATTCGAGAAAAATGTAGTTTGAAATGTGACAAACTACCCACGATTTTGCATGAAGACAATGCAGCATGCATAGCTCAATTGAAGGGAGGATTCATAAAAGGAGATAGGACAAAGCACATTTCACCAAAGTTATTCTTCACACATGATCTTCAAAAGAATAGTGATATTAATGTGCAACAAATTCGTTCAAGTGATAATATGGCTGATTTGTTCACAAAATCNGTTAAGGTTTCAACGAGGCACATTACTTATTGAGTAGACATTCAAGGGGGAGTGTTATGAATAGAATTATAATTAGAGTGAATGTCTATCTTTTAGAGAGTTTTACTTTGTGGCTAAGTCATTTTTCTCCTATAAATAGAGGGGTCTTACCCCATTGTAAATCATCCAAAAATTTAATAAGGATTACTCTCTCTTTCTCTGTAATATTGTTCTTCTACTTTTATTATTTTATTACAGCTCCATAGTTTTTGGTAGGATGTGACTTTACAATTTGAACTAGATCTTGAAAAAGCAAAAATAAAAAACAATCCAAATTTCCGACTTATCAGCATATTCAGCAGAATCAGAATGCTGACAACTAAACTGAAATAATTGAAAACAATGACTTTGCTTTTGTGGGAATATTCTAGAAAGGTCTAGTTAACTTTTTATCACGAGATCAAACTCTCTACTTTTAAAAACCAAATCCATCTATTTGAAGGATGTTCAATGTCGTACTTCACTAATTATACATGATATTATTATGTGTTTTTAAAGATTTTTGCACTCTTTAAGAAGGATATTTAATAACTATACAAGTAATATTTTTCTAAATGACCTTTTATTTCTTTCAAACGTATCAGTTAATTAATGCTCACTAATTAGAACGACGAATTTGAAATAAATGAACAAATTTTATTTTTCTAAACTGATTTATTTTGAAAAAAAAGTTAACAACTAATAGTTAGGACCGGATGTAGTATTAATCTACTATCATCAAATGATAAATTTAGCTTAGAACACATTGATTTGTCATGTTCAAGAATCCCTATGTGTATAGGGCTCGTCAAAATCATACTCTAGTGTGTATAACAAAACCAAACTATTATATGGCTGAGTTTGAAATTCATTCTTTTTTTAGTAGTCGTAGTGTCCGGACAAGTTTGCACACACCTCGACTAATTTCACGGGATATCTACCACCTCCCACCAGCAACAGATATCAGGTAACTCTATCCACCAAGACTTGGATAGATGGAAAGAAATTACCTAATGCTTTTTACCTCCGCTAGAATTTAAACCTGAAATCTCATGGTTCTCAACCCAAATTCGTTTGAATTATTTAAAAAAATGTATACTGCGTATTACTTTGTGATGCCTTTGAAATTTGAATAAGTCCTTAGTTGACCAGCAAGTCCCGATTATCAAACTCCCAAAAACTATGTTGACTCTGCTTGCTTTTTGCTATCCAACTCTCACAAGCCAGTCAAAAAAAGGTGCTCCTCAAAAGGCCTACTGCATATTAATTAGAAAATGAAAAATGATAATGATATGTGACAATTGACATGCACCAAAGTGAGTACTTGGCAACAATATGACACCCTTTATCTAAGATTCTAAACTCAACTACTCAATTATCCCCATACTGGATAATTCTAAATCAAGTACTAACAATTACTACTACTTTAGATGTTTGGATAGCGATATCAAGACATTATAGAAATTAATTTCTTAGTAATACAAACACATAATTTGAACTAAGACTATTATGTTCCGTTGAATCAGTATGTAACATTCTAGCTCCACTCTTGCATCACTTTCACGAATACTAAGATGAAGATGTTAAGCTTAAAATTCTAATGTTACGGGAAAATAATCTCTCATCTCATCATTAGATAAAGTAATTGAGATAGAAACTTGGTAGGTATCTTACAACAATAAAAAGGCAAAAACCGTTATCTAAGTATAGATATTAATTAAAACAATGTCATTCTATAGTAATATTATTATATAAAGTAATAACTTATGTATATCTAAGTATAAAAAATAATTAAAACAATATCATTTATAGTAACATTATTTTCATAAGTAAAAAATTTACTTTGCACTTATTAGATACTCTAATATATGTACCTAATAATTATCAACACTAAAATGTCGTAGCATGAAGATATTAAGCTAATCTCGGAATATAAATTCTCATTATTCATGTTAGCTAAAATTATTCAAGGTTTCTAAATCAAAATTTAAATTACAATAGATTATATATATCAAATAAACTAGAAAATTATATTATCGAAAGACAAGAAAACTTCATCTAATTAAATATACAATGACATTTATTTATTAAGATTGATTTTATCAAGTAATTAATTTACTTCGTATTTACTATATGCTCTAATAAGTGTACTTAGCACTAACCAAAATTGTATAGTCTAGTGGCAACACGAATATATTAAAGTTAAACTTCAAACACAGAGGCGGATCCAGGATTTGATGACTACGGGTGCTATTATTTTTAATAGAAACCTACCACTAGCGAAAAAGATTGAATTAGGATGTACATTCTGCCGGTTCAACCCATTTTGAATTAGTTCTGTTCGGTTCGATCTATTATGAAATATTTCAATCGGTTTACTAGATTTTTAGTGCATAAATAAATATGTGATCACCAAAACAACTGTCCAATTCGATCTAATTCTCTCAATACAAATTCTATTTATTATGATTAAAAAATATAAATAAAATTTAAGTTAGCAAATACATCTAATCAACCTACATATAGCTAGATTGTATTACGTTTATTGATGCCATCACTTTAAAAAATCAAGAAAAATATAACATTAGATGATTAAAAAATGATTAAAATCACATTCAAATAAAATTTGAAGATCTAGTACGAGAAAAAGGAAGCAAATATATAATTCTAAACAAATAATAATAATAATGAGGTTGTAAAAAGAGAGTGGAAATACAAAAATAAAGAAAAATAGAAGGAATTAAAAGAGGAGCAACCACAAAAATGAAGAAAATAGAAGGAATTATTGAAGAAGAGGAGCACGAGGAGAAATAACACTAAGCATTGGATGTGGAAAATTGGTAACTCAACCGTGGCACCCACAGTCCTTTTGTTACCTTCGGGTGCCACTCAAAACCTATATCATATTTTCCAGTAAAATACCAATACACATATACAATTTTATTCGAGCGTCCGGGTGCCGTATTACCTCAAAGTCCTTACATAGATCCGCCCCTGTTCAAATATCACGAAAAATATAATTTCCCTATTCGTATATTTTTAAAATTAGATTCAAGTTACAATAGATTATACTTCAAGTTACGAATAACAAAATCTTATCTTATTATTAATGTCCACTAAAGCAACAGTATCATTTAGATAATATAATTATTTTCTCAAATATTAACAAGTTCACTTATAATTGCAACATACTTAAACAAAAATGGAAAAGCTATAACAGGATTAAAATTAAATTGCGAGCTGTTAAAAATGGAAAAAATATATATTGGACTATTAGTAAATATTACTATGTATTACTACGTATATTTACATTTTAGAAGAAAACAAAATGGAGTTGTATGTGTCTAGCTGTTAGGTCATCGGTGTGCTTCTATCTGTCAAGTGTATATATTATTACTCCATTAATTAACTCTTGAAAAAGAAGAAAAAAGAAAAACAAAAAAAGGAAAATAAACGCGGCTGGTAATACACCAAAACCAGAGTCTTTCTCTTTCTTCATTCTCTCTCTTTCTGCTCATAGTTTTGAGCTAATACAAAGATCGTAGTAAGGCGATCCAAGCTTTAACAGAACAGTTTTCATAATCATCTGACTTAGCTCTTTAAATCCATATCAGTTTTTCTTTTTTCTTCGATTTAATTATTTTTTCTTGTTGGATTTTAATTAATTTTTTATTTATTAAATAAAGGTCAGCTAGGGTTGGTGAAATTTTGCTGTTTTCCTGCGATCTCGATTAGTTGAGCTGAAAGGTTTTAAACTTTAATGAAATGGGTTAAAATTTTTGTGTGTTGTAGCTCAAGTTAAGAGGCAAAAGGGGGTCTCAAAAGTGAAAAATCTTGGAATTTTGTGGAGTGTATTTATTAATTTGAATGATTTCTGTTGGGAGTAGAGATGGAAGGATAGGATTAGGGTTTGATGGTGGAATGGAGGAAACTGAGCTAGAAGAAGGAGAGGCTTGCTGTTACAACATTGATTCAACCATTGACCCTGATGTTTCTCTATCTTACCTTGTGAGTTTCTTTTTCTTTTTGCCTTTAGTGTTTATCATACTTTTGGAGTTATAATTGAGATCAAAGCATTTTAGTCTTAGAAGATTCTTGTTCATACTGCATTCAATTGTAATTTGGTTCATTTTGTGTATTGACTTTTTGTAGTTTGTTAGTTTGTAGCTCAATCTCTGATCAATCTACATACTTTTGTCTATCTCCCGCTGGGGCTGCTCAATACAATTGACGGCCTAAAGCCAAAACTTAATAAGTGACCTTCTCATGTCTAAGAAAAAACTTGATAAGGAAATGGAAAAGGAATGTTATTAAACCTTAAGCATAAAAGAGTAAAAGGCCAAGAGGAAACGCGGAAGCCGAAAAGTAATTAGCTTATATTAATTACTCTAAGAGAAAGAAATTTACCTTAATTACCTCAGCTAAATCCGATACTCAAAGAATAGAAAATGAACATTACCTCAACCAAATCCAACTACAACAACAACTACGCCTCAATCCCAAATAAATATTATCTCAACCAAAGCCAAGTAGAATAAAATTTGGAACATTGTTAAGCAAAAGATGGTTGAAAAGAATCTACTTGTCGTTAACAATAAGCATTTCTGTTGTTCCGTTTTATATGACACAGTTTTCATTTTAATTTCTTCTAAGAAGAGTAACACCTTTCTATATTTGGAAAGTTCAACATAAAGCTTCCTATTTTCTTCCGTGACATGCTCTTATGGTCATATATATGCCATGACATGTTTAAGACCACATGTTCTAAGGGTACTTTTGGTGTGCGTCAAAATTCTTTCTTTCTTTTTTGAACTCCATGTTCAGTCCAACGCACCATATAAATTGGGGGAGTAATCATTATAAAACATATACATGAGTATATGTTATATATAATGTAGTAGTAATTTTTGGGACAAAAAGATTTGTGGGCCTAAAGCAAGGGCTTTAGTGGCTTTGTGTTGGAGCTGCCCGGCTGCTCCTGATTCTCCCGCTTTCTAAATTGTTAGTATACTTAGATGCTTCAATATGGTCACTATCTTGTTCTGTGAAAGCTGAAAACAGCGAGTTGTGGCAGGCTACATCAGCATGTATCGATCGACTATGCCTCAAACCCAAACTAGCCGGGATCGGCTATATGATTTATCTGTAACATTTCCGTTCTATTCAAGCCCAATTTGATTGATATACTAAACATATTCTGTATTAGGCAAAGAGGTTCTCTAAAACTGGAAGTTCCTTAAATCTCAACTTATCCCTACGGTGATATAATATCTGATGAGTATCAAATGGTGTATGCCAAGGTCTTCCTCGGATTTCTATGTGCTCGGCAAAGGAAAGCCATCACTAAATCATTTCTTACCATGTGGAACACCATTCCTGCGGCTGTTTGTTGGGTCATTTGGAAAGAAAGAAATGCTAGAATTTCTTAGAACAGGAAAGATAATGTACTTAAGTTCAAAATACAAGTGTATATCTTTGCTTAGTTTTTGGCGAAACATGGCAATGGAAAATGTTTTGGAGGCTGATGTCATGCTTGACTTCCTTTCTTCCTTACAGAACATGTAATTCTCTTCGGGTGTGCACATGCAACGCTTTTCGCTGACTTTTCGTCAATATATATTGACCTTTTCAGAAAGAAAAAGAAAGCTACAGAAGAACGTGAAAGGATTAAGTTTGTAATTCTATACGTGTGGAGAAAAGTGATTAATTTCACTCCAACACCGATATAAAATAGTGTTACAATTTTTCTCTAGTCGGAAACTATACTTGAAAGTACTCCTTTGATGTGATTTATCATCATTTTAGCAGAGAATGCATTGAGTGTCTGTCCAAGTATATTGTGACGTTGGAGAGAACCAGCATTTGCTTATTCTATTTTTTGCTTTATAACTTGTCTATCTTTATTAAGAAACTTCTCTATCTAGAGTTGGTTTAGGGGCTAGTTAGTGAGCTGGTAGACGTTTTCTGGCAGGTGTTGTGTACTAGTGTTTAAATTGCATTGTGCACCTCTGATGGCAACACTCATCTAGTTTCTCATGTATCTATTCTCTTACTCTGTCAAGGATGAGAAACTCCACAATGTTTTGGGACATTTTCAAAAGGATTTTGAAGGTGGAGTTTCAGCTGAGAATCTGGGTATGTAATATTGGAAAAAAGGGTATTCCCAGAAGCACAAGTTTGCCGTGACGAGGCTTATGACATGAGCTGATGATTGTTGATTTGCATGTGTTAACAGGGTCAAGATTTGGCGGGTATGGTTCATTTTTACCTACTTATCAGCGTTCTCCCTCTTGGTCTCATCCAAGGACTCCACCAGAACCCAACAACTTTAACAGACAAATATCACCAAACAATCCGCTCCCTGAGGTACGCAACCTTTGAATGAATCTTTATGGTTTTCTTATATGATAGTTTACAGCAACGAGGTAATATGTTTTCATGTTGATATTCTACTTTTGATTGGATAGCTAGCTGTGTTGACTAGACTATGATTTTGTACAGATTACTTGGTATGAATAAAATTCTTAATTACCAAAAAAAAAATATTCTACTTTTACCAATCAATATGCATTTTTTAATTTTACAGGGTGGTCGCCATACCTCATTAGGATCATCATGCACTTCTCTCTCAGGAAGGCCTGTAGCATCTTCTGGCCGTTCAGCAACAGGACCTGCACCTAGGGCTCCACCATTTAATGGGGAAAGAAATTCTGCCGTACCACCTGCTCGGTTGGAAGACTCCAATTCAAAAATTATAAAAGTGAAAAAGCCAAGAAATGCATCTGACCTGAAAACACTTAAGGTGCGTATTAAAGTTGGCACCAACAATTTGTCGACCCGAAAGAATGCAGAAATCTACAGTGGGCTTGGGCTTGATGATTCTCCATCATCATCTTTGGATGGTAGCCCCGTGGAGAGTGAAGGGGTATCCCATGACCTACAGGTTTCCCCAGATGAATCCCCTACTAGTATACTTCAGGTGAATCTTTCCCCTTCCCACAAGCATTTAGCTTGCTTTGTTTTTCTTCTTTTTGGTTTAGCTAACCTTGGCTTCTGCAATTTTCTTAATCAACCACCGTTGATGCAGATTATGACCGCGCATCCAATGCATGATATCTTATTGTTATCCCCCCTCTCAAATGAGTTAATTAGCTTGACTGATAAAGAAAAGCTTTGGGGACAATGTGGATATGAAGGGAAGAAAAAGGCAAGCCTTGAAACTTCTTTGGTATTAGCGAACGGTACTCATTATGCAAATGGAGAAGCTTCAGAAGCAAAGAAATTGAAAATTTATGACAAAGATGCCTTGGCAAAGGGCAAAGGCAATGATAATCAAAATGGTAGTGCCTTATTATCAAAGAAGGCGATCGATATTGATGCTCTTGCATGTGAAGAACTTGTTTTGAATGCTTTGAAACTCCCTCTTCTATCTGATCCATACCCTAATTTCCCGGATCCTCCTAAAGATGCAGAGAAGACAGTTGACAGTTCAAGGTCAGCCAGTAAGGGTAAAAGAACAGAACCATCTTTTGAGCGGGCATCCAAGAAATCTTTGCTGCCTGTCGCTGAAGTAGACACAAATTCTGTTGAAGTGTCTGGTGGAAAGGTTTCCTCATCTAGGAGAAGTATGGAAATTAAAGGGACACATTGTAATAATCACAGTTCAGGAAACCTGAAGAAAGAAGACAACAACGAAGAGGAGGAAGCTGACAATTCATCCAATGCTGGGCAGACTAAAGACAGGAATGCACCAAATGCAGATGCAGTTAGTCCCCTCAAACAGTCATCTCGTCAGAAAAGCTCCTCCAAAAAAGAGGATGGAATGAAACTGGCTCCTGAAAAGGAACTGTTCACATCTGGAGACACAATGAAATCCAAAGGAACACGATGTCATAATGCCCAAAGCATAGAGGTAGTAAAAGATGGTTTAGTTGCTGATTCTTCCATAGCATCTAAGGGTAAGAAAACCTCTTCTAGCAACATCCTCGTATCCAAAAGTGATTCAGAGGACTTGAAAAAGAACCTAGCCAGGGATAAATACAAAGAATTCTTCGGTGATGTAGAACTCGAACTAGAAGATGCTGAAACTGGTTTGGAGAAAGTTCATTCAAAGGAAATGCTCAAGGGCTCTGATGTAATCAGTAAGAAGAGACTTGAACGTAATAGCTCAATGAAGGAAAGTGTTAATGGTAGGAAAACTGAGAAGCCGTTTGCTTCCACCGAGCATCCTAGGTTGGCTTCAAATGAGGCTCCTCACAATGTGTGTGGATCCAATCCTGCTGCACCTCCAGGAGCAGTGGCTCCTTTAGTTAAAGAAGATTGGGTATGTTGTGACAAGTGTCAGATTTGGCGTCTACTGCCACTTGGCACAAATCCTGACAGTCTCCCAAAGAAGTGGGTTTGTAGAATGCAAACCTGGCTGTAAGTTTTTTCTCAACCTTGCTTTCGTCCTTTTATCATGATTATCTGTCTTGCTAAAAATAAATTCTTCTCTATTCAGAAGACCTCATTTTTTAAGGCAAAGACATGTAGCCATAGATGTTAGGTCGAAAGATTATCATATTATAAAATTTCTGATATTTAAGGTTTGCGCATTAATAAATTTTCTTCATGTTCTAGGCCTGGAATGAACCGTTGTGGTATCACTGAAGAGGAAACAACGAAGGCTCTAAGAGCCCTTTACCAGGTGCCGATGAGTGGTGCTACTGCCGCTGCTTCTGACAAACAACATAGTCAGCTTGAGTATCCTGGCGGGGCACTCTCGGGACTAACTTCTATTGATACTTTGCATGCCAGCCAAGACCACCAAAAAGTAGGTTTACAAGCTGTTGATGCTGGTGGGAAGAAAATCTATGGATCAAAAGGTGTGTCAAGTGCAACCAAAGAAGGTTCACTGTCTTCAAACTGTGTTAAAAGAAGCCATCAGGGGACCCCAAATAGTAGAAGCTCGAATGGTACTACCAATTCTCCTGATGATGAAAATGGGCATGAACTGGTGGGCTTGCCAGGTAGCTCAATCATCGAGAAGCAGAGACATAAAGAAAAAGAGAAGAGAAAATCACTTGAGAACCATTCTGATGGGGGTATTTTGTCTGAAGCAGTCATATTTTGAACTTGATGACCTTGAATTTCTGGAACTTCTCCTTATTCTGTATGACTTTTTTTTTGCAGGTATCAAAAATTCGAAGATGAGGAACATTAGCGAGACGGATTTGGATGGTTCGACTGCTAAAAAGTTCAAGAGAGATGATGTACATTATGATGATGACCGCACTGGGGCGAAACCAGGACAGAGCTCAAGCACTGGTTTGTCGAACAGTGGATCAGAAAAGGTCAGGGATAAATATAAATACAAGAACTCAAAGGCGGATTCAATGAAAAACTTGTCTTCAGCAAAAAATCCAGAAAACCATACTCTGGATGGTTCAGTCCATAAATGTGATAGTAAAGACTCCCTTAAGAAGAGAAAACGGAGCGAACCCCAGAATTCTGAGGCACAAACTCCCCGAGATATTGTGGAAGAGACATGTGATAACGACTGCAGGAAAGAAAAGAAAGCAAGGATCTCCAGGTCTGGGGGGAAAGACTCCAGCAGAAGCAGAGCTAGTGAAGGAACTGATGGAAAAGGTAGTAAGAAGGAAGAGCGAGTCGGACAAGATTTAGATAGCACTCTATCTCAGCGCAGTGCAGATGCTGCAGATTCTTCAAAAAGGAATTTGTCTGCTTTGCAGCCTTCTGTTGCAGCAACTTCAAGCTCTTCTAAAGTTTCTGGTTCACATAAGAACAGAGCTAGTCTTCAAGAACTGAAGGGTTCACCAGTAGAATCAGTATCTTCATCTCCTTTGAGGATTTCAAACACGGATAAGTTTTCATCAACTAAAAGGAACCCCAAGAGAAAAGACGATCGCAAGAATGCCACTTCTACACCAAGAAGGTCTTCTTATGGTGAAAATGATAGGGGCAGTAATCGTTCTGGGATGATAAAGAAAGACGAAGCTTCCAATGGCAAGCATCATGGTCTGGAGTCCTCTGAACTTGCTTACCAGGAGAAAGATGTGCTTGATGTATCAGGTCCTACAATTAAAGCAAAGATCACAGGTTCTGATTTTGCTACTCGTCGGGACACTGATGTAAGGACAGAGAACTCAGACCAAGGCCTAGATATTGAAAGAAGGAAGAGTAGTCAGTTTCATAATAATGGGTCTACCTCAAAGGATGAGATGGTTTCGTTGTCTCAGCGTAAAGAAAAGAATCGTACTGTCAGATCTGATTCTGGCAAACGTAGGTCTAAGGATCCTGATGTCTCAAATGAATCTTCAGATCGAACATTAGATGAGGGGAAATTGACATCCGGAAGAAACAAGTTTGAGGATAAAGCTGGTGCTGGTTCTGATAGATTACAACAAGGTTCTAAGAAAGATCCTGCTGGGAAATTGTTGAATGAGAATGTCAAAGGAGATCTTCAATCGAAGTTTGGTGATCATGATGGTGCAGAAGTTAAATTAGATGTTATATCCAGCCTGGATAAAAGGCAGGCCGCTCTAACTGATCGAGATGATGGAAAATCGTTCAGGAAGCTTGCTTCTGACAAAACAGAGCGAATTGAAGTTTTTGAGAGAGGAAAGTCACACTTAGCATCTCCTTCAACAAGAGGTCAAAATGAGGCAGTTCCATTTTCGCAACCAGTTCCTGCATTCAAAAAGGAAGGTGCGGCTAATTCGTTGGCAGCGGATACTTTTGAAGGGGAGATGTTGAATACTTCAAGACAGGGTAAAAAATCTGAAAGCCACCCTGGAATACCTAGTTGTATGCGACACTCTACTCCGCCTACACATAAGATCCGGGATCCGGATGCTCGCAGCCCTATTCAGAAGGATTCTACAAGTCAAGCTGCTGCAAATGCTATAAAAGAAGCCACGAACCTCAAACACCTGGCAGATCGCCTCAAGGTTTACATAATATTCCTTCAAATCCAAAGAAAAGAAGGGCCTATAATTAGTTGATAATCTTTATCATTTGCTCTCATTTGTTTATTTATTTACTCATTTTTGTTGGCATAACTTGACGTCTTGTTGCAGAATTCTGGATCAAGTGAAAGTACAAGTCTCTATTTTCAAGCAACCCTAAAGTTTCTCCACGGAGCATCCTTGCTAGAATCATGCAACGACAGCGCCAAGCACAGTGAAATGAACCAGTCAAGGCAAATTTATAGCAGCACTGCAAAACTGTGCGAGTGAGTTGTCTGGTCTTTGCATCTATTCATTCATTGTGACCCTGATTGCACAAATTCGTGAGTAGATGTTACTTTCTTACCACGCGGAAGTACAGGATCTGAGATATCTAAGCTGTTTCTTGATGAACTAGTCATGACAATATGCTCAATAACAGATACAGTAAAGGAGAGTATAAAGGTTCTCAGGAATGACTTGATTAATAAACAAGAACCCTTGCTAGCAGAATGAATAAATTCGACTTGCTGTTCTTTTACATTCTTCATTCATTATCAAGAACTTTATGGGGACCCTACCCAATACTATGTTTTCCTTTTTTAGCATTCCGGATTGATCAAGGATCTGGAGTTTGTTAAAAGTACTGCAAATTAGAAAATGTTTTGTTAATATCTGGGGATTGTTTTGTGCCAACAGCTTTCTTGGTACCTTTCTTAATTAATAAAAATCTTACCTGATCACACAAAAACACACTTGGGATTACATAATACTGCTTTGTGGTATATAAGAAAAACTTCTTTCATCGGATGTACTTCTCAAACATCTTATTTCTATTCTCATAATGTATAATCCTAAGAGTCATTTATATTGTAGAGATCAGTTTATACTGCCAATGAGATCTTGAAGTACTTCAGAAGTTCCTAATACCAAGTAATGCTAATTCTGGGATTTATTTTTGTTATTTTTATAGGTTTGTTGCCCATGAATATGAGAGACTGAAAGACATGGCTGCTGTCGCACTAGCCTATAAATGCTTGGAGGTCGCGTACATGCGAGTAATTTATTCCTCACATTTCAATGCAAACAGATATAGGAATGAACTACAAACAGCCCTGCAAATTTTTCCTCCGGGTAATTTTACTAGAGATTCACCTGAAAATAAACATCTTACATCATGATACAATTTTATTTCAGATTGTGCCAATTTGACCAGCATGCTTCTTTAGACTTCTGGTTTAAACTTTGATGTTACTAAAGTGGCATCAAAGGTTTTGCTGGATACTCATTAAGATAATGTTCACAATATTTACTTTGTACTACACTAAAACCATTTTCTGTGTACTCACAGGCTTATGCTTTGCTGTATCTATGAAATGTTGAAGATATTATGAAATTGACGAGTCAATACCGCTAGAAAGTTCTGTATAACATTCTGGGGAGACTGAAAAATAATTGATTATGAAGTTTGCCAATATTAGCCAAAATAGAAGTATGTCTATTAAAAGGTTATTCCATTTATCTTCGTTTATGCCAAGAACAAATTGGTGTGTTGATGGAAAAGATGAAAATGTGGAATGATTAAGTTGGCAGAACATTGTAGAACAATTAAATTATTCGTAAATCATCAATAACAATTCACATAAATGACATTTATCTCTGATGATCAAAGCTTCAATGGATTTTATTCAAGAATTATACGTTATTAGGTATTAGTAAGTTTTGATAGTTGGACTGAAATTGATTCCTTGAAATTTTAGTATTAGTCATTAACTCTTCTTTTATCAGGAATAGAAGTTTAATAAGTATAAAAAAATAAACATATAAAAAGGTTTTTCCTTCTTTTACTTTAAGCAAAACAGCTATATCTTATTAGTACTGATGAAGTGTCTTGGACTTTCTTCTTAGCGGATTGGACTTCTTTTTAATGGTTATACTTATTGGGTTCCTTATTATCATAGGTGAGTCCCCTTCCTCTTCTGCCTCTGATGTTGACAATTTGAACAATCCAACAACGGTAGACAAGGCTGCCTTGATGAAAGGTGTTGCTTCTCCCCAAGTTGCTGGAACTCATGTTGTCTCAGCGAGAAACCGTGCTAGCTTCACGAGGCTACTTGACTTTGTAAGTATCAGTAAATTTCAGCTCCATTAATGAGTTAGTCTACTTGAGTGGATGAGATCATTAATCAAACATATTTTCAACGGAGAGAAGCATCAAACCATATAAAGTAAAGAACTATTTTATATTGTCTAACTCTGTTGTTCGTCTAATTTAATTTAGTGGATGAGATCATTAATCGAACATAAGAAGCATCAGACCAGATAAATTAAAGAACTATTTCGGTGTTGTCTAACTCGTTATTCTCCTGAACAATTGCCTCAAGCAGGGCATATTACCATACTCTATCTGCAATTTTGCCAACAGAACTGGCGTTGAACCTGCTTTTCCATTTTCTTAGTTGTCATTCACTAGGTTTTTTGGGTAAAGGGCTTAATCACAAAAATGCTTATCTCTGCATAAGTCGAACCCTTTTCCTTGTATCCATTTACTTGAGAAGTCATGTTCCGGATTGTTACTTTGATCTGGCCATGTTCCTTTTTCTAGAATCTTAGTTTTGATTGATTTACAGGCACAAGAAGTTACCTTAGCAATGGACGCCTCCAGGAAATCACGTGTTGCTTTTGCAGCTGCTTATCCTGGACTCAGCGATACACAGTGTAAAGAGCCTGCATTATCTGTAAAGAAGGCCCTTGATTTCAACTTCCAGGATGTTGACGGCTTATTGCGCCTAGTCCGGGTTGCCATGGAAGCTATCAGCCGGTGAAATTTAACTTTAAGCCTGAAACCATGTGATTCCATGGGACAGACTCCTGAACCTGTTCCTCCGTTTGCTGTCAATTGAGCAGAAATCAGAACGAGGATCTCTTGGTCGAGGGATGCTATTATACCTATCAAGTTAAGAACTCCACTCTTAATGCCCTTGTAAATCTGTACATAGCTACATACTGCAAATGGTAAGATGTTCCCAATACAGACACGGTCACGATCTGATTGAAATAAGGAACTTGGTGTTGCTGTCATAAATTCATAACATTGCAAATGGCTTGTTGTTACTGATCCAGCTGACTTGCCTCTCCGAGAATGAAGGTAAAAAAGGGTCATGAGTATTGCATTTTTCTCATATCTCAAGCAATTTATTTAGTGTTCTTGCGAGTCAATAGCTCATCTCTACCACTTTTATTTCCTTGATTCCAACTACAGATACGTCTGCAATACAGATGGCTTGTTAGTTTTCAACTTATAGAAGGGAAAAATTCAGAGAAAACACTTCCCACGACAGCACAAAAGAATAATGTGACAAGTATATATGATTCGAGTTGATTGATGAGTTGCTGACATTGAGGGGACTCGGCGGTATACACTTTCTACCCGTATGTTGAAGAATCATTAAATTATATTATGTACGTAACAGAAAAAAGATTATTCCCGTCTATAAAAACCAGAATTTTCTTTTGCAGGTTAGCTTTCTGCTAATAGGGACACTCACAAGATGAGATATGCAGTTGTTGCGTCCATCTTAGAAGGTTAATACTCCACTGCCTTTGTTAATTGTCTCGGGAATTTATTTCGAAATTCGAAGGAAAAAAGCCCAGTAAGAATCTTATGCTTTTCTTTTTTTTTACCATTGCTATCTATATATATCCTGCTACCCTGTCTCACTCATTGGATTTGATGTTTACAGGTCGTTGAGAACTGCTGTGACTGCAGCAACTTGGCTTTGTTATACTTACTAACAGTGTTAATAAACTTTCCACCATCAGTGTACCTTGACCTTGACCTTTGAGTAGCTATAGTAGTGAGTAGGCAAATTTTACCATTTTTACCAAGTTACCAAATAATGTTTTTATCTTAAGATGTACTTGTATATACGTTATAAGTAATTTGATTGTGTAAATAAGTTTTACATTGTCAATGCGTAGAACTTAGACTCTTCATTTTTGGGTCTTTTCCTGTAAATCCTTCAATTACCATCTGTTATAGAAGACATTTGTTTAACAGCATAAAGTTCTGATTTAATAAATCATGGTGGTGTCAATGTGTAAAAGATATAACATTCTTTTTCCCGGAAGATGTTGATACAAACATTTTACATTCATTAAACTCATAACTCACAGTTAACTTCAATTCCTTGTGGATTGTTTCAGGATCCAAATTATTGGCTGGCCATTTCAAAATTGTTCGACCGTTTGGACTATTTGACTGCTGTTCTTTATTTGATTATGGGTTTTCCAACGCTAGAAGTCTCTCTTGAAATTAAGAGTTCTACTCTCAAAAGAATGAACTATAGAAGATCATACTGTTCCGACTGACTGCAATAATTAATGATTTTGATTGGCCTTGTAGCCCTTTCTGAGAAGTCAGTGAAACACATCCCCTCCACTTAATAGGGTTTAGAAATGAGACTAAATGAAAGCTAAACAGAGTTCAAGAATGATGTCAATGAATGGAAGCTAGAAGTAGTTAGATTGTGGTAGTTAGTCGCCTCACAATCTGATTTCTTCGATGAAGTACATATGATCAGAGAAGCTACCTAAGGAAAACACATGATTGATCGGGTTTAGAAATGAAAGTTTAATAGGGTTGACAAACAAATGGATGTTATACGTAGTTAGTCACCTCAAGCCTAATTTCTTCGGTGAGGTATATATGATGAGAGAAGCTATTTAAGGACAAAACACAATTGATAACAGCTTTGAAATGATTCACCAACTGCCTCGGCTAATCGAGTAACTGTAGAAACATGTGTACAACAATGTCAAGGTAAAAATGGTTAACAAGAGATACTCGGGTTCAATTGCTGTAGCTAGTGAACATATAATTTGGAATTCAAATAAGATTTTGTTCTATACTGCACAGTTGCTTACTTATAGGCAAGGTCAAAAAATTTGTCTCCTACTATACTCCTATTACATGGAAAACCAGCTGTACTTAATCCAATGTGAAAGAACAATAGAATCTCAGCCAGGCACCACAGCATCGCTTCAGGCTAAGTACTTAAACAAGTTCGGGTTCTCTTTGTCTCTTTCCAAGTAATCCCGAGTGATAAGATCTTCCATTCGCTTTTTGATTGCTTTGAAATCAGGCTACACAAATATGCAAAATTTATGATATTAGTATAAAATTCTCAGTTTCTATAACAGCCCTAACTAATCTTCAGGATAAAGCTAAGTTTAAGATGCACTTGCAAAGGAAATAGAGCTCATAAATAATCAGAATGTGAGATTCTTGGGTTGGATGGCACACAAATATCATAACATTGTAAGCACGCGGTGCAACCATATTTGACCCGTGTTCATCTCTCGTAGTTTTGATTTTATATGGAAACTCTAGCTTTTCAAGACTGAATCCTCAAGTTCATGAACTAGACTAAAATCATTACTCCAAACTTATTCTCATTTAAAAGTTGCCACTTATTCTATGACCAAAATAACTTTCCCCATTAAGAGAGTATGAAATGCCAGATATCTCTTCCAAAAAGAAACTACAGACAAAAGGGAGGTCTGCCTCCTCGTTTCATCTCTCATGTTGTTTCACCGGTTTAGAAGAAAATGAAAAGAATGGGAAAGAAGAAAAAGAACCATCTATTCAAGCGGCTGTCATTTGACCCATTTACAGAAAAAATCGGAAGTGGATAATTGTCACTGGATAACATATTTAAAGGATTTGTAATTAATGAAAGATATTTCAACTAAAAATTCTTTGTTTCACAGTGCTATAATAATGTCTAAGAAATCAAAACTGGGGAACAATTTGTGAGTGGAGGGAAAATGTAAAATTGGTAATTCTATCATTCTGTCAAGTAAAATTGTTGGTAAGGAAACCAACAATTTCACTCAAGTCAAACAAGACATGCATCACAAACCTAAAACTAAGGGAGATCCACCTACTAATTTACCAACGGTATTCCAGATATTTAAAATGTTTAAGGTAGCCCCCTTTAACTATTTTACCAACACTATCCCACATATTTAAATTCTTTTTTTTAATAAGGTAATTGATTTTATAAACAGTTGGTGAGAACCCCGTTTACAAGCTGTATACCAAAAAATAAAAAAAGAAAGCCTACACCAAAATATAAGAGAAATTAAATGGTGATACCCATCTTAAATTCTTAAAAATACTTTCAACACCATGATCCCCAAAGACTCTGATCCTGAAAGAAAAGCTGTTAAAGTAATGAGGTGATAGTGTGATCCTATCTGTCGCTACGTTCCTAGAAGATGATACCCTTCAATTTGTGTATTGGAAAGCTGGAAAACAAAAGGTCCGCTGCAGTGACATATTGGGGCATGCAAATCATATAGACCTTGCAAAGCGATTTGTTTCATTCTAGAAAATTCAAATGGTTGAAAGAGTGGTGCATACCTTAAACATTCGGCTCAACTGCTCAACACACTCCAACACTAGCTGTTGATGAGGAAGAACCTTCCGACTCTTCATAATGCGCACAATACAGGCATCAATTGCATAACGTCTATCTTTGTCCACATCCTCAACCACCTTTTTCCTTTCATCCGCAGGAGGCAATGGGACCTGGACGGTACAAATTTTCATGCCATTAATGCGTTTATGAAAGAAGCATCATTGAAAGGTACAAAGTTCTAAACAGTATATATACCCTAATCCTCCTCATCCTGTCACTGAACTTGGAGTTGAACTCAAAATGATCAGATGGTGAGACAGTTCTATTGCTAGGCTCCTTAGTCAGAATTTTATACTTGGCACATGAAAGGGAATGAAGCAATCTGACCAAGTCATCATCCGCCAAATTTAATTGACTCTTGATTTCTGAGTAACTCAATCTATCTGAAGCATTAAACAGTAACAGAGCAGCAGCCTGAAAAAGACGCAATCATAAATCCAAAAAACTGTACTGTAACGAACAGGGATATTGCAATGGAATCATTAAAGGGTAGTGACCTGATAAGTTCCCACAATCAGTTCAATTGTTTTAGGCGCAAACTTCCCGTTTATGTTACAAGTACCCAATGAATAAATCCATGTCAATTTCCTGTGTTTTGTTTTCGTCTGATAGAATTCCTTGAAGACTTCCACACACTTTACCTGAGGCAAACGGCAAAACAAAGGTATGTCATTCATTAATTCAGAAGAAAACCTCAAATCAGCAAAACAGAAAGTGAATTTTCAAAGCAAGAAAAGCAGCTCTCGCCATTTCCACTGGGAGACTCAAATCAGAAGATTTATAACTAGGCCAGAATCCAGTTGTAAGAACTGTGACAGTTAAATCGATTCCAGGACTTGCTGCAGGGTTGTTGCTGAGATATTCCTGAAAGTGGTTCTGATTTTCCCTAGCCAATGTCAAGTCTGTCACCTATTCACAAGTTCCCAACCACAAGCTTTAATAAGATATTTGAATGGGGAAAGAATAAACTATGAAAAGATATTGTGTTACTCACCATTCCCTCCATCTTAGATGTAAACTGTCCACCACACTGCTGCTTCAGCTTTGTTAAGATAAGCCTTTCATGGTCATCATTGGCACTTTTATCAAAGAGCAATCGACGAGAAAGCTTCTTCCTGTTGCACCAAGACAATGGACATTCCAAAAGGTAAATGAAGATTCAACCTAACTAAGGTTATTATATCAAGAAATTGGACTGTCTACCCCACCTGTAGAACTCCGCAAAGAGGTCTTTGTCACTGATGTATGCGAGAAGCTTGACCACCTATAAAAATTGAAACCATTATTTATTATGGTATCATTTGCAGAAAGATGGGCCTTCCAGGAACTGAAGAGTGATTTACAGTTCACGCTATACCTTATCCAATGTCTCCTCAATAGCGTCATCACTGAGCTTTTCACTCCCACCTTTCTTAAGAATATTATCACAATAAGAAGCAAGGAGCTCCGCACTTGAACAACCTGACACAATCTTGTTACAAAAGACCTCAAATGCCTCCTTCAGAGCCTGTATATGTCAAACTTTAGACACCAGAAACAAAGAATTCAAAGTAGAAGAGATCCGCAGACAACTGTTACCAGCTGAACATACCTTATGAAAGAGAGAGTTATTAGTAAAACACTCTGTAACATAAGACATATACTTGTCGTGGAGCTCAATCAACTTCCTAACGAAGACCTGAGAAAAGGGATGAGTCCACGATTAAGTGGATACTTACCAATACATAAAAGTGAAATCCAAATATGGGAATATGGTTCTACCTGCTCCCCTGTGCCCGAACTTTCAGCCTGTGCAAGAACACACATATCAGCACCTCAAATGGAAACGCTAATAAACTATTATCAGGAACAAAAAAATTCTCGAAATCATAGGACAGCAAGGCTGCAGAGAAACTTCATACATATGTACTTTATTTTTACAAATGATTTCAACTCCACTCAAAAAAATTTGTTCTCTAAATGGTGTTTCATGCAATCCCCCCTCCCCCTCACTGTTTTTCCCCTATTAACAGTTGAAAAGGACTTCAGACTCGCTTACAATTAAACAGATAATCATCATTCTTAGGAGTAAACTCATAAAAATATGAAACAGGAACATGCACAATTCACCTTGTTACTTGCCGTATCTTCAGCCTGTTGCACCAAGACCATGCCTTCAGAAGTGACATGCTGTAAAATATGTACTGTTAGCAGATGCTTAGGCAAAATTACAAAACTAAATAAATACCTCCTTTTGTCTGTCGTTAATTGGCATAGAAAAATACCTGTTTAAACATATTTGCAACAGGTTCCAATCCCTTAGGAATTCTGTGGAATAGCCTATACATTCGAGATAAATCCTCTACCTAAGAGTAAAAAAGGCAGTGGAGAAGTAAGGGCAAAAGAGAGCAGCATCAAATAATATGTAAAATACATTGAAACTACCAGAAAACTAATAGTGAAAAGAAAAACAAGGAAGCAATACCTTATCATCTCTAAGCAAAGCTCGGCATCCAGAATGCTCCTTCTCAAGTAACTGATTGGTATATACAACCAATAATTCATTTTGCACTTTCTGCAGCATAAGTTTGGTCTCAGCATTGAAAACAAATCCAACAAAAGGAAGATTTTCAACATTTAGAAAGTCTGAATTTTCAGTATTCTAAGTCTGTCTGAATTTTCAGCATTCTAAGTCAAGTATATATGAGGCAGATACTTTAAAGCAATGACATAAATAAGAAGTGCAAGTATTTAAGTAAATTCAAAGGCTGACCTCCAAAAGTTTTGTCTCGCTACTAACGTGGAGATAATGAGACACTCTATCCTTCTCTTTCTTCAAGCACTCCTCCGCCTGTGTTAGCAAAGCAGTTTCACAATTTACTCTAGCAACTTAAAACAATAACCAAACCATTTACGAACTCAAGAAATTTGTAAAAATGAATTGTACCTTCAACATATAATCTGGACAAGAATCTTCCACGATCCAACTAGAAGCTTTCCGAGAATAATAAGCTGCGGTATCTTTAAGCATTGCATCCTCAAAGTCATTTTCATAATACTCCATTTGCCCCATTCCAATTCCAACAAATATATCAAGCACATTCTTCGGTAAGGCCCTGTCAATCTGCTCACCCTCACGTTCTTGATCAATCTAATTCAATAGGACTCTTAATCAGACCCTCAAAACTAGCAAATAATATTGTAAGACATGGGGTCAAATGGAAGGGGGAAGAAATCAAAAACAAAATAAAAGGATATGATACTTGCCAACACAATAACTGCATCTCTAGCTTTACTGTTCAACTCCTGATAAACCTATTGTCAACAAAAAACAGAAATAAGTTGCCCACACAGCAAGATATGGAGAAAGCTCATTCCCAAAAGAACAAGAACAATAATGTTGCCAATAATTAAATAGGAGATGCGAGAAACATACCAGATCGCGGAAGCACGTAAGACCAACTTCGTTAAGCGCAGGTAGCGACCTTCGGGCAATAAAATAGCGGTCGAGATAATAGAAGAACCGTGAGAGCCACCTGACCATAAGTTTATGATTCGCCCATCTTTTCACAAACTCCCTCAACATAAACTCATCATGCCTCTCTCTTAAAGCAGGCAGAACCTAAAAAAGATACAAAATACTAATTTCAAAATCGAATAGCAATAGCAAAGCAACTAGAATACACGTGTACTATCTTCAAATTAAAATGAAGTAATGTTAACTAGGATTTCAGGGTCTAATCAACTTGAACATACACCCACCTATTGAGGCTTATCAATATGTGTCAGTTATACCAATACAAGACACAAAAATTGTGCAGACCAAACTCAAGTTCTATCCATTATTGCCTAATTAAAAATACAACCGCCAAAAAGCCTGCTAATTGCATGAAAAGTAAATATGTTTGCCCATCACAAAGGTAACCATCAACTAATAACTTATCCCAATTATTATGAAAGACAAGGTTAACGCTTCTTACAGTAGAATTGATGTATTCTTCAAAAGAATACTTGTACTTCTCATACAGCTGTTGTGAGTAATCATGCGGGGGCTTCTGTGTGCACATGTTATATATAGTTGTGTAGAGCATCATGTACTCTTCAGAGTTGAAAGAATCTTGCTGTCCTTCTAAAATTTTCTTCAACTTTGTGACTCCCTTCTCCATAAACTCCCATCCTTCCTCCAACTCAATAATCTTCATGTGGCTCATTGCCATCTTAGAAGCACGTGTTTTATTGCCACCTGAATATGAGTCATTGAAAACCACACATAATCACAACACTACACCATATAAAAAGCATTCGTAAGGAAACATCCAATCTCACACCAATTCATAATCAATTACACAAAACAACACCAATTCAAATTTCAATGATACAATGAAGAAAAATATCATCGATGGCGTAGGCGCATAGCTATGTAGACAGAATTGAACACCTTTCCCCGAAAAATTACACTGCTTATATAGGTGGTTAAATATTACTTCGTATACAAGAACAACTACTACTACAACTCAATCCCAAACAAATTGAGGTGGTGCTCTCGTTGAGAAATTCCTTAGGGACAGGAACAAGCAGCAACTTCCCAATTAATAATCAACAACAATAAACCCATTGTAATCTCAAGTGGAGTCGGGGGAGCGTAATGTGCACGCAGACCTTATCATGTCTTGCGAAGGTAGGACTCAGTAATAGAAAAGAAATTAAGGTAACTGAAGCAAAAGAAATAACCACTAGTACTAGAAATCTAAGTATAAGAAAGTACCATAATAATACTGACACGCTCAACTACCTACTAGCCTTTTACCCTAATTCCCAATCAGGAATCAATTAAAAAATATAATGCTAATTCAAGTTTCAATGATAAAGAAGAAAAACATCTTCAATGTACACTTTTGCAATTATCTTTATACAGGTTGGGATATACAATGTACACTTTTGCAATTATCTTTATGCAGGTTCGGATATACAAAATGACCGGCACATTCTCAAACAGAAATATTTATTTCAGTTTCAGTTTGCACTAATAAAACTCCAAAACATAAGCCCGCATGTAGCAAATGACCTAGTGTAAATAAGGAAATCGACACATATCGCGTAATTCCAATTTAATTTTTTTTTCCAGGCAATTCAATTCGTTGTTCAAGAATTTTAGCACGATCGTAAACCCTAGAAACGATAACAAGACCAAAGCTAAATCATAATCTCCTCGGCCCTTACCAGAGAAAAGGATCTGAATTACAATTGCCTCGTGTTGATAAATCGCTTGCGTTGTCAACAGATTATACAATGCGATAAGTAAGAGAAAATATCTCAAATATTTAGAATCACTAAGTTTATTTACAGGGGAAATGGGTTGAGAATGAGGCGGTTGAATTTCAACCAAATTCCACTCTCACAGTCCTGCCTTCTCTTGGAAACCATGTGGAGATTTCCTTCTCTCTTTTTTTCCTTCTTCTTTTTAAGCTTAGAATATCCGGCCAATCATATCGTATATACTATTCTTAGACGTATATTAATTGGAGTACATATATAGGTAATGTCAGTTTACATATAACACTATTTAATACAACATTTATTACTAACTTAAAATAACTGATAAGTAAACTATTCTACTAACAGCTTGTTTGGATGGTTGTTACCTATTGTATCGTATTGTATTGTTTTCACCGAACAATGTTTGTTTTAATTGTTTAGTTAAAATTGGTTGTATTGTATTGTTAAATCCATTGCTCCGGAACAATGGAAAGTCCTATTTTTTGAAACAACCGATTTGGTGTGATGGGATCGTTTCCTATTTTTCTTTCTAATTATGCCCTAACTTATTACTTTATAATTCTATTTTACCCTTTACCTTTTTATTTTAAATAATAGCAAAGTCTCTTTCTCACATAATTTTGTAATAGAATTCTACGTGAAGTCTAATAACCGATATAAATTCTCAAGACGACATCCCAAATATAACCTAGTATATAATAACCTACATACGTGAAAAACTCATTTTGTTCTTCTGCCGCTTCTCCATACTCTTCAGGTAAATGTTTTGTTTTACTTTTGTCTGAATGGAGTCTACTTAATATTTTTTTTAAAAATTTTTATTATTATGATCTAATTATAAATATATTGTACTTATTATTATTTTTAATATTATTAACTTGTTCAACTAATTTCGATAGAATTTGCATGAATTTAATTGCTTAATTTATATATAAGACATATTTAGTGATTAGTTAGTAGAAAGTGGTTTTCTTAATAATTTTTATGTGTAATTTTTGATAAATTAAATATTTAAAATAATTGAGGGTATTGTAGTAAACTTATCAGTTAAAGTACAGTACGATACAGTCAAACCAAACAGCAAAATGTTATTTAACAACAACGAACAATACAATCTATCCAAACATTGTATTCATAAAACGATACGATACAATACAATACAGTACAATACGATACATTATAAAACGATGGGGAACAGTGATCCAAACAGAGTGTTAGTTAAACTATCGTGCTGACGTAAAAAATTTAAACATTATATATCAAAACTTAAATAATCTCACAAGTGATAATTATAATTTTAATATGTATGACCAAGCTTTTGGAAAGCTAAAACACCTTTTACAGGAAAAAAATTATTGGAGATTTGAAGCGTTTGACGAAAAGAAAAACTATTCTTATAATTAAGAATTTATTGTTGTAATTACCAAATAGAAACATTACGAATCCAACAAACAAACGTTGTTGATGATCACCAAAAAAATAAAGCCTTGAATTATATATTTTTGTCTGATAATTATAGAAATAAAAAAGCACACCTCCTAATGGGGTTTTTCCCGTTTCTGCAACGAAACAGTCATAGATAGCACAATAACATTTGGCATTATATTGGACAAAGCAGGCTAGAACATATAATGTTGTAAGGGGTCATTTGTTTCAACTGCACGATAGACGAGGATATCCCATAGAATTAGCTATCCCACCTTTTATATGGGATAGTTGGTTCCATCATTTTGGTAAAAATTTATACTAATATTAGCTAATATTCATAACTAAATATGGAATAAATATAATCCCAAATTCTATCATATGATTAGTATCCTTATCCCAATAATCAAACGACCCCTAATGGTATCCTAACTCCGTTAGTTGCTCTAATATTGCAATGACATGCAATTTCTCTTGTGATAGTATCTGATAGCTTCTCAATAACAACAACATACCCAGTATTATCCGATATCGTGGGGGTTTGAGGAGGGTAGTGTGTACGCAGACCTTACCCCTTCCTTGATTAAGAGATAAGCAGCATAAAAACAACACGACCGGCTCAGGAAAACATAAGCACAATATTAATTAAGAGATAGACAAGGAGGGACAACACCAAAAAGCCATGTAAAAGCAGCATAAAAACAACACGATAATAAGATGATCAAAATGAAAGAAAACGACGGGTAGTCAAAGAAACCTACTACCAACAGAATGCGAGAGTGCGTACTAATACTACCGGTGTGAACAATCTAGACCACCTACCCTACTATCCTAATCCTCGACCTCCACACCTTTCTATCAAGGCTCATGTCCTCGGTCAGCTAAAGTTGCGCCAAGTCTTGCCTAATCACCTCTCCCCACTTCTTCTTCGACCTACCTCTACCTCTCTATAGGCCCTCAAATGTCAACCTCTGACACCCCCTCACCGGGGCATCTGTGCTCCTCCTCCTCACATGTCCAAACCACCTAAGCCTCGCTTCCTGCATCTTGTCCTCAATAGGGGCCACACTCACCTTGTCGCAATAACCTCATTCCTAATCCTATCTAACCTGGTGTGCCCGCACATCCATCTCAACATCCTTAGGGCGATCTTCAAATAGCTCTCTCTTTCCCCCTCAGACTTCTTCTCTCTCTCTTACTTCCATTGCCGACCCACACCCTCTCTCTCTCTACCATTAACACAGCCGCCCAACACCATCGCCGTCGACCCAAGGTAAGGTGCTCATCCTTCTGATATACATCAAACTCTTCTCAATCTTCTCAAAAACTCTTGTATTTCTTTCTGTCCGCGCTATGTGAATAAACTCATTATCGTTTTAAACGTATGTGTGTGTCTTTGTCATTTCTTTAGCTTCTCTTATAACTAGTCTTTATGTACGTGTCTCGCACGTATAACAATAGGCGCGCCTAATAATTAACACAAGATATGCAAATATACTTGTTAGCAATTTACAATATTTTAAAAATGCTACTTTTAGCTAATTTATTTTCTATCACTATTACTTTTTTTGGTTACTTATATGAAAAAAAGGACAAGGACGAAGACTTTCGTGCATATGAGAAGATTTGGATTTGGTGACCATGAGAACTTGCATCCTATTGTGTCCTTTTACGATATGAGGGATGAAACAATTTTGGTCTTTGAATATGTGAAGAATGTTGACGTTCCAATTTATCTAGATATATACCACTCATACTCTCATATAACTAATTGGTCACCACTATTTTTTCCCTTTTCTTCTTTTTTCTATTTTTTTCACCTGTGATTTTATTCTTTTCTAACTGGTCTTAATATAATATATTATTTTTAATGAATTTAATTAATATTTTTTAATGATTTAAGAAAAGACGAACTAAAATCTATATAGAGATCTGGTGTGTATGATAAGTCAGAAATTATAGACCTATGTAATTAATGAACAATATTAAAAAAGTTTCCAGCCTTGATTTCATGATTGAAACAACGGAAATCAACACTACTTACTTGAACTCCACTAATAACAACCAACACTACTTACTAATAACAATCAACACTACTTACTTGAACTCCACAATAAGAAAAGAAGCATGACATAGAAACAATTTTCTTTAACTATAATACTGGACACATCTTATATGAGTCCCAATAGTAGTAACTAACTTTATAGACGAATTTAAATCCTTGTGGGTATCACATGTATGTTAAATATTACTTATAATTTTATATACCCAATAAATGAAACTATGATCAAATTTCTAAGGGGTATAAATGTCGGTTATTGTTATGAGGATATTTTTGTAAATTAATATTTATCATGGAACGTCAATGCTTTTAAAATAATATAATTAATATTTATCATGGAGCATTAATGCTTTTAAAATAATATAGATAGATATAGATAAATCAGATCAACAATAATAAAATTAGGAACTTTTCCAAAACACATCAAAGATTACAAGAACAAAAATAAACAAATCACAAAATACAAAAAGAGGTTAAAAATCCATGTACACAATTTGATTATATGCATATACATCTTACGTAAAATATAAAGAGGAGGAAATCATGGACGTGCCTTTCTAATCCAAGTAGGATCAACTTTGTAGGGCAAACGTATGTGTAGTTTAAATCGAAAAAGAATTCCATTATTTGGTAATTTACAATTAGATCCTTAAATTATACAAATATTTAAGGGCATAAAAGGCGATCATATTTTAGGGATATTTTAGTCGTTCAACATTTAGCATAAATTATTTGTGCTTTTATAATAATATAGATAGATATAGATAGATAGATATAGATAGATAGATTAAGCTTTATAGTTGGCTCAAATCATCTACTACAGGATAATGTATCTATGCCTATTGCATCAATATGAGCCATAAATTTTTGTATAAATATGTATTCAACAAAGAGATGTTCTCTTGTTTCCCGCCTTATTTTGTACATTAAACACATAAAATCAGCTTGCATTCTTTATTTTATAATTTGTCAACTGTAAGCAACATGTCATGCAATTATAACCACATAATCAAAATAACAAAAAGATGATCTCTTGTTTCCTACCTTATTTTGCACATCACACATATAGAATCAACTTGCATTATTTGTTTTAGTAATCTATCAACTGTAAACAACTTGTCATATAATTGTAACCACCTAATAAAATTACCTTTGGTCTAGCAGAGTTTGGATACATCACATATTTCACCACACTTTTGGTAAATCTCCAAGCATTTGAAGTAGACATGCTTTATGATACTTCATTTGCTTCCATTTGCATTCTGTAGGCATTCCATGAACTATCTTGTACCAAATACTTTCCTCGCCATTCAACTTGCTTGTTGTAGTATGGATATATTTGTAAACTATTTTCCCTTGATGTAGTAAGCATATATCTATCTAATCCACAAATTGTCTTATTTATTTGCCAAGTTCCAGCACGTGTTTGTGATTATAACTTTATTCCACAGTTTTAAATTAATAAGATTAAATCCATTTGCAATTTTAGGTTGATACGTTTTTTGCATGATATTAATACCCTTTTAGTTATCACATTTACTCCTGACCAAATAAAACTTCTGCAGTAGCTCCAATCACATTACCTTTGAAGGCAGGATAAATAATTGTGACCAATAAGCTTGCATTCCAAATATTATAGTTTTAAACTGTTACACAATGAATGTAGACATACTATAGAATGAATGTAGACAAAATGAATGTAGACAAAATGAATGTAGACATACTTTTATATAATATACATAGCTACCAGAATTATAGGGATTCATATCAGATTTATAGGATCTCCTTTTTTATTCTTTCTATAGTTAGGGCTCTGTGTACTCATATATATACGTGTTACGTCTTACATAACCAAAAAAGAAGAGTTTCTTCTCTGATGTTAAAGTTGTCAGTGTCAAATGTGTTACTTTAATTGTTCTCTCTGACTTTTCTCTCTCTCCAAACGCTCACTGCCAGTAACGGTAACACAATAAAACGGGATCAAACCAGTGACTAGTTCAGTCGCCGGCGACCACCCTCCACCCAGGTAAGTCCCCTCACTCCTATGTCCTCCCCATCATCCAACACTCCTCCTCCCTCTCTCCGCCCATCTCTCTCACCCCGCCTCTCCTCTTTTTCGTCCTGTCTTCTCCCGCTCTTACTCCGGCGAGACACGGACCAGTCGCCGGCGAGTGGGAACAACCACAGTCAGGTTTCAGGCTTGGTTGCGGTGCCGTGGTGACACACAAACCAGACCCGTCTCCAAGCCAGGTAACTCATTACCCAACAACTTCGGCCAGTTCTTCGACGACCACCACCGTCTCCGTCGACAGTACCAGGTTCTACGTTCCTATCTCATTGCACTTTTTCTTAAACACACTTTGTTTAAATTTGTTTTACTGTTAGTAGTGTGTTCTATACTGGTATTGCGTTATAGCCGCGGTTTATTTTCTTAGATCAGTAATTATTTGATTTCACCTGTATTGTTTAGACCCTGTGTATTTGCTTGCTGCCCTATTCGGAGGGTCTCAGATATTTAGTTTTACATATCTTGCCGATCCCGAGTCTTTAATTTATACTTTAATTTAGTCTTTAATTTATACTTTGTCTTAGTCCATATTATTTTACTCATCGTATTAGTGTCCCTGTAGTTGCAACTTGTCTTCTTCTAATTTGGTCTGTTGCTTTGTGTGTGTTAGTGATTCCCCTTAGTCTGACGTAGATATAGTGGCTGTGGTCTGGGATGGTCGAGTGAGGTCATGTCCTCGGGGGGAGCAGGGAGTAGGGCGGGAGGTAGGGCAGGGGTTAGGGGGCAGGTCGGGAGGCAAATGAGGTAAAGGGTACAAGGGTGTCCATTGGTTGAGAATTGGGTCATGGAACGTAGGTACATTGACGGGAAAGTCTATAGAGTTGGCGAAGATCCTCCAGAAGAGAAGGGTCAATATAGCATGTGTCCAAGAGACAAGGTGGGTAGGGTCGAGGGCGAGGGACGCGGACGGGTATAAACTTTGGTACTCAGGAGTCGAGAGGGGTAAGAATGGAGTGGGTATCTTGGTGGATAGGGAACTTAGAGAGTCTGTGGTTGAGGTTAGACGAGTGAATGATAGATTGATGATTATTAAGTTGGTGGTTGGAGAGTGCACTCTAAACGTTGTTAGTCCTATGCGCCGCATTCGGGCTTAGATGAAGAGGCTAAACGACATTTCTGGGAGGGATTAGATGAGATTGTGCGCCAGGTTCCGCCTACTGAGAAGCTATTCATAGGAGGGGATTTCAATGGTCATATTGGGTCGACCACAGGTGGTTATGGGGAGGTGCATGGAGGCTTCGGTTTTGGGGAGAGGAACGGAGGAGGTACCTCGTTATTGGACTTTGCTAAGGCTTTTGGGTTGGGATTGCGAACTCTACCTTTCCGAAGAGGGAGGAGCATTTGGTCACTTTTCAAAATGCGGTGGCGAAGACTCAGATTGACTATCTCCTCCTCAGGAGGTGTGACTGAGGGTTATGCAAAGATGCAAGGTGATTCCAGGTGAGATACTCACGACGCAGCATAGACTGTTAGTGATGGATATTGGTATTAGGTTAAAGAGGAGGAAAAGGTATGCTCGAGGAAGACCGAGAATCAGGTGGGGAGCCTTAACTAAGGATAAAGCCCAAGAGTTGGAGGGGCGATTGTCGGCAATGGGAGCTTGGAGGAGCAGTGGTGACGCAAGCACTATGTGGTCTACGACAGCAAATTGTATAAGGGAGGCTGCAAGAGAGGTGTTAGGGGTCTCGATAGGTGCCTCTGGAGGCCACAAAGGAGACTGGTGGTGGAATAAAGTTGTCCAAGGTAAGGTGGAAGCGAAGAAGGCGGCGTACCTAAAGTTAGTGGGGAGCAAAGGTGAGGAGGAGAGGCGAGTTAGCATGAAGAGGTATAAGGTAGCTAGAAAGGAAGCTAAGCTGGCGGTCATGGAAGCTAAGACTGCGGCTTATGGTCGTATGTATGAGGAACTGGGGGAGAAAGGCGGGGAGAAGAAGTTGTTCCGGCTGGCCAAGTTGAGAGAGAGGAAGGCTCGTGATTTAGACCAAGTGAGATGCATCAAGGACGGCGATGGTACATTATTGATGGAAGATTCCCAGATTAAGAGGAGATGGCAAACTTACTTTCATAAACTTCTGAATGGAGAAGGAGATCGGGATATTGTGCTAGGTGAATTGGAGCATTCCAAGAGTCATCGTGATTTTGGGTACTGCAGGCGCATCAAGGTTGAGGAGGTGGTGAGAACTATGAGTAAGATGAGTAGGGGCAGAGCGACCGGGCCTGACGAGATACCGGTGGAATTTTGGAAGTGTGTGGGGAGAGCAGGTTTGGAGTGGTTGACTAGGTTGTTCAATGTTATTTTTAAGGCAAAGAGGATGTCAGATGAGTGGAGGTGGAGTACGATGGTTCCACTGTATAAGAACAAAGGTGATATCCAGAGTTGTAACAATTATATGGGTATCAAATTACTTAGTCACACCATGAAAGTGTGGGAGAGGGTGAGGATGCCGGTGTCTGTATCTAACAACCAGTTCGGGTTCATGCCGGGTCGTTCTACTACAGAAGCTATACACCTTATTAGGCGGTTGGTGGAACAGTACAGAGATAGGAAGAAGGACCTGCACATGGTGTTTATTGACTTAGAGAAAGCATATGACAAGATTCCTAGGGAAGTTCTTTAGAGATGCTTGGAGGTAAAAGGTGTGTCGGTTCCCTACATTATGGCGATTAAAGACATGTATGATGGGGCTAAGACCCGGGTAAGGACAGTAGGAGTCGACTCTAAGCATTTTCCGATTGTTATGGGGTTACACCAAGGCTCTGCGCTCAGCCCATTCTTATTCGCCCTAGTGATGGACGCGCTAACACACCATATTCAAGGGGAGGTGCCATGGTGCATGCTATTCGCCGATGACATATTTCTAATTGATGAGTCGCGTACCGGTGTTAACGAGAGGCTGGAGGTTTGGATACATGCTCTTGAGTGTAAGGGTTTCAAGCTGAGCAGGACGAAGACGAAATACCTGGAGTGTAAGTTCAGCGCTGGGCCGGGGTGTGAGCACGTGATTTTTGCCCTATAGGAATTACTCCCACAAACTCTAAGAAAATAATTTTTTTCCCATTATTTGCAATTTTTGTAGGTTTTCGTAGGATTTTTGTTAATTGTTTGCATTTGTTTGCATGTTTATCTATTTAAAATCATGAAAAATACAAAAAAAAAATATCATGTATTGCATTTAGGATTTATCTTTACATTTTTAGGATCAATTAGTTAATTGTTTGTCTTATTAAAAGTGAAAATCACAAATGTGGTTCATTTTGCATTTTTAGTTTTAATTTTAGAATAGTATTTTTCCTTTTCTATATAATTTTTAGAAAAGTGGGCATGTTACAATTTAAATCAATTTTAGGTTTAATTTAGTTTTTGTTTCATTAATTTTAGTTAAAAGAAAATTGAAAAAAAAGAGAGAGAGAGAGAAAGGAATTAAGTGTAGGATGTTACCATTTGGGACAGAATTAAATTTGAGCCCAAATTCCACGCCTGTACCCCAACCCGTCCAAACCAAGCCCAAGTCCCTACCCGGTCCAACTTCTCATATCAGCAAAACGACGCCGTTTCAGGGGCGTTTGATCCCAGCCGTTGATCTCCGTTGATCAAACGGTTGGGAACTCGGGACCCTAGGGTTATTTAAATGTCGGAACCGGTCCACCCCCCCTCCCAGTTGCATATCTCGTTCCCTAACCTAACCAAACCATACTTGAATTCGCGCCCCAAATCCCCAAACCTTCACCGGTCGACGGCCACCACTCAACCCCTCTAAACCTGCCAAAAATCATACCCCATAACCTTTTCCTCCTCCTCATCTCATATATCGACCCAGTTCTTTCCAAAACACCCCGAAAAACCCTAAGTTTCAGATCTAAGAAAGGTCAGTTTGGTCGGAAATCGCGGGATTTGTTCGCTCTTCAGCGTTTGAGTTCGGAGGGTTCATTCTTGTTTGCTCTCTCAAGGATTTGGACTCTCATGAGTCTTTTCTTCCAAAAAATCCGGTCAAAATCTCCATGCAAGGCCGGGTTCCTTGGGAGAAAGGACCTTTGAGTGGTCAATTAGAGCGGAGCAAAACATCAAGCTATCTCACGCATTTGGTTCATGCATAAACGGTAGAATTTCACCATTATGTTCTTCATTTCTCGGGTGAGTCGGTGATTTCTCACTTTCTTTAGTCCGCTAAATTACTTGTGTTCATCTGAGAGTCATTCCTATTTTTACCTTCTAGTTAGGTTTGATTAGGTTTTGTTTCGGTTGATTAGTTTGGATTAATCCTAGCCCTTTTAGATTAGTTTCATAAATTGCTAAGTTTAAAATAGCTTAACTCTGAATTTTCCTTCTTTTTCTTCTCACTGAAGTTGATTTTGGTTTGGGTCATTTTGGTTGATTGGGCTTCTTGGTCATCTATGACCCGGCTTAAAGAGGCTCGTCCATTTAGGTTTTGGTTTTGGGTTATTTTGACCCATGGGTGATTTTCTGAAGGTAAATAACAGCCTTTTAAAGGGTAGTTTAGGGAAATTGGATAGAGGGAATCTTGCCTAACTAACTAGAAAGCTGCTAGGAAGGTGAGGATGGGGTGAATTGCTGAATAGTTTAGGAGATCAGGGTCCAAAATGAAAAGATGAAAATTGGGGAAGGGGTAAATAGTGAAGGAATGAAATCAATTTTGCTGCCCTAAAATTTGTCTATAAAAGGCTCACTTCCTGCATTCTTCTAGGCAGAGATGATATACTAAAAAAAATTAGAAACGACTGAGGGATTCATACTCTGAAAAAATACTAAAATTCCTGCAATCTTTTGGTCGAAATTGGTCTTGGTTTGGCTCTCTAGTCTTGATTGTTTAATCAGAATTCAAAAGCTTCAAGGAATTTTCTGTTCATCTGGGTTTAAAAATGGTCTAAAGTAGGCTGAAAATTGGTGTTGATGTTGCTGATTTACTGTTGTTGCTAAACTCCTCACTCTCCTTGTTTTCTTTTGACCTTCAGGTATTCCTATGAACTTTTGAATGGCAAATGTAAGCTGTAAAGAATGTGTTCTTCTTGTGCTGTAATTTGGGTGTTCAAGATGATAAGTCTATGGTCTCACACGTATGCTATTTATATTTTATTTAGCTTAGTCGTTTGGTTTTGTTGTGTAAATATGATGGATTTGGATATTCAGCATTGATTTAGTGTCCATGTGAGAGATCATGTTTAGCTTAGTAAATTCTACGTATTGTCTTGGACATTTCAAGAAACCATAATAGTTCATGTAGTCATTATTGGGATCTGATGGGTTCTGAAGGTAAATTTTCAGTTCACAGCTAGATGGTAGTAATATCAGTAGTCCTTAGTCATTTTTTAGCTTGTTTTGGCTCTGAAAATCGAAGTTAGTCAAAGTTTTCCTTCTTAAACAACATGCTTTTGCTTGATCCTTGAGTTGTTGTGATTGATTAGTATAACTAATATCAAGGCTTTGAGTGTCATGTTAATAATAATACAGTCGATTCAGCTTTTGATTTCCAAATTTTAGTACCATGTTCTTCCTTTGTGATCTCTGTATTTGAAAGCAACTTGAATATCAAGAGAGGCTGGGACAGGCTTAAAGTTTTCAGCTTGAATTGGGCCTAATTTTGGCCACGTAAATGGGCCTGTTTATCATGAAGTTTGGAGCGACCAATTCTGGTTTTCTTTTGCTGTGGGCCCAATTGTAAGCCCAACAGCTTTCAGCACCAACTTATCTTCTTAAGTATAGGATGGCTCAATAAGAAAGGGGTTCAATCGGGAATTCGAGTTAAGTTTAATTCAATGTCTGATTTTATTAATAATGTTGTTAATCTATATAACACAGGTTTGAGTATTTTTGTTAAAATTTTTGGAGTCGGGCTCAATGCTGGCCCAGGCGAAAAACTAACTAAGTCATTTGGGCTATCCCTTCATCCACTCATTCTCGTTGGTTAAGTTTTCAGCCCAGGTTCTCAATACAGGTTTTTTTTTAAAAGTTCCTTGTTAACTGTGTAACAACTTGTCTCTTGAAATACTAATGTTCCTTAGGCTTAGTTAATTGCCTTTGTTTTAATGGATTGAGGTGTGCCATTTAACTAGATCGCCTATGGCCCTCACGAATGTTAAATATTAAAAATGAACTTCGTAGTTTACTTTAGGCGCGTTAATTATATAATTATTACGGTTATTAAAATCCGGGGGTACATTTCATGTGGCCCGGTTCTAATTTCCAACAAGGTTAAATAGAACGTGTCGTAAATCACGGGTGCATTTCATGTAGCGTGGCTTACGGTGTGTTTTAAATAACCTTGAAATTCCTTAAATAAATGAAAGCGGTTTTAAGTTAAAAATGCACATAGGTTTAAAAATATTTTAAAACCAGATAATTAGGCCAATAATAACAGTTGAGGGACCGTGCTAGAACAACGAAACTCGGGAATGCCTAACACCTTCTCCCGGGTTAAGAGAATTCCTTACCCGGATTTCTGTGTTCGCGGACTATAAAATAGAGTCAACCTTTCCTCGACTCGGGATTTAAACCGGTGACTTGGGACACCATAACCCAAGTGGCGACTCTGAATTTTAAATAAAGTAATCCCATTTCGATTGTCACTTAAATTGGAAAAAACTCCCTTATACCCCTTCCCGGGGGTAGGAAAAAGGAGGTGTGACAGCTCTGGCGACTCTGCTGGGGACCAAGAACCCAGAACCTCCGTTTCAGGGTTCAGAATTCGAGCTTAGAATAATTGTTATAGTTGGCTTTATTTATTATCTGATTTTTATATGTTTGAGCCTAATGTGCTAATTGCCGCTTTTTACCGCTTTGATATTGTTTGGGTTGTATATAAATTGTTACGAAACCCTCTTCTCTCTGAGTCTTCTAAGTCATCTGGAAAGTGTGCACTTCGTGTGACTTCTCTTCTGTTAGAGTCATACTCCAATTTTAGAACGAGGTTCGGACAAGTTGCAAAGCCGGTGAAGCTTCTGTATTCCCGATACGCTGCCCCCCCCCCCGCCCGGTCTCGAGCTCGTCCGCGTCGGGACAACGCCGAGGTCTTATCCGACCGACCCCTAATCTC